GGGTTGTTATTATTTATTAGCGGCTAATGCTTGATTGTCCGCTAATCAGGCCAGAGAACACAAATGCGGGCCATCCTGGCCCCCCGCTCACATGTGGTTTCTGTTGCTTTGCCTGTCTTCCCCTCCCCTCCCGGGTTGGGTTTTGTTTGTTTTTCTGTTAATTTGGTTGTTTTTCCATGTCGTTTTCCGTCAAACCGCATGTTTTTTCCCTTCCTCTCGCCAGCCATTTAGTGACAGGCAGGCAAGGAAGGAGTCCGGCACGGAGCCCTTCTCTCCAGCTCCGGTGGGTGGCCCCCTGCCAGCTCCGGCGCTCTGCAGAGGCCAACACGCTGCATTCCAGTCCACGCACTCACCTGCACTGCAGGCAATTAGGGACACATGGTACAAGCGGAGCTGGCCGCTCCACCTCGACAGATCCCCTAGCAAAGAGCAGTCATGCGCTTAACGGGCTTCTCGAGCGATGGATTCCTCCGGGCCGGCTGCTGTGCCGCGCGATGGTGCACGCTGAGGCTGGCTCCCGCTCACTCTGCCACTTCCCCGGGCTCCTCTCTCCGCTCCTGCCCCAGCCTCTGGAGAGCTGACCTGGGATCTAGCCCTCGCTCTCCCTATGCACCTGGTTACAGCGCTCTCCCACCTGGACGCCGTCGCAGGCGGCCCTGGCTAGAATGAACGGCGGGCGATCCGGACTCTGACTTCGCAGCTCCTAGGGGCTGCGGGAGCGTGCTCATGGGTGCATGATTAGACCCAAGCCAGCGAGATGTGTCCGGGGATGGAGAACTTGGTTCCCTCCAGGATATGGATGACCTAGGAGCTCCTTTACTGGAATCCATGGCCATTAACTCAAGTCCCCCTTCCACGTTGCCTGGGAGGCCTTCCTGGTCCCATTTGCACAGACACCTCGTTCTCCTCTTTTGGCCGGCCTTCTGCCTCTAACGATCCTCTCCTCTCTGGCCCGTTAAAATTATTTTTATAACAGACTATAAAAAAGAGAGCCATGTGCCAAACCTCAAGAGCACATCTCTGTTACAGCCACTCCCCCGCCCTCGGGCCCTGCGTCGCCTAACTCAGAGCGTGAGCTCTCCGGGTCAGCTGGGAGCTTGTCTTCTAGCCTTGCTCTGTGACGGCTCAGCTCCCCCGGGGCGCTCCGGGTCCACCCCCTTCCTGACCCCGCACAATCCATCGCACAGAGCTGTGCTCTGCAGGAGAGAATTGCCTGGTTGGAAAGTCCCATCGCATCCCCGTCCCCCGGCACGTCTAGCCCCGCTCACCCAGCACAAATCCCCTGGGCAGTGGGACGCCGCTGGGAGCACCAAGAGCAGCCAAGGGTCCTGATTCCACAGCCCTGTGCAGCTGCGTGGGTGTAAATGGGAATCACTCCAGCGAAGGCAGCACTTGGCTGTACCGAAGCTCAACTCTCCAATCTCTGCGCAATTTGTTATGTTCACTGGGCTCTAAGACCTTCGCCTACGTGAGTGCAGTGAGGGCCCAACCAGCAAGAGGGACGCAGCCTGAAACAATTGGGCCAGGGGACCATCCAGTCCCGCTCCTCATCTAGGACACTGGCCAGGGCCTTCAGAAGGAGGAAGAAGAAAGCCCATAATGGACAATTCCAGAAGGATCCACGCTTCCCATGAGTGAGTGGCTGCTTTGAGCCAGACCCGGCCGTGCAGTCACACAAGTCAGGCAGATTTAAATCTGGGCCTTTGACGTCCGGGCACTACCTGGCCATGACATCATCCCGTGAGGGGCGGGATTTCCAATGCACACAAAGTGGCTCCACGTGGCCCGCTCAAAGGAGAGGCCGTGGCTTTAAAGGATCAGTGGGCATGGACCTGTTCCTGAGTGGCTCTTTTTTTAACGGCCAGCCAACGACATGAGAGGATACTGAAGAGGTGGATAACTGTGCCTGTCCCCAGAATGGGAGATCCCTTTGCAGGCGGAGGAGGGTCCGGTGGGCTGAAGTGGCTCAAACCCAGAAGCTGGGGATGGGGCGTTGTGACCATTTGCACCCTTCCTTCGAACCCTGCCCTGCTCAGGGCGGGGACGGTGCCAGCACCAAGCTGTGAGCCAACTCTTGTCCTGGCCCCATAGCAAGGGCCCCAATTCTGAGTCCAACCTCCATAGGGTGCACCCCAATGCTGAGCTAAGCCAGGATTTCAGGCAGGGTTGGGGGCACCTCTACACGGCCCAGATCCAGGCTGGAAAATGGCTCTGAGCTCGGCGCGGTTCTTGTTTTCACCCTGGGTGAAAGGAGGGGTCCTTGTCCACTCAGGGACATGCCCCTCTGCAGCAGCACATCTCTGCACTGAGGTTATTAATTCCTTGAGAGGAAGAGGCAAGTGAGTAGGGTGGGGGTGATGGAGGGAGAGGGGGAGCAAAAACTTGCAGAGAGCTTCCAGTTAAAATCCAGGCAATTAAATTAATTACCAGAAAAAGCATCTCACCTGATTAGTTCCTTGCATATTTAATTACATTAGCAACATCGGGCATTCGCTTCTTTCTTTATCTCCTGCTCTGTCTGCTGGGCTCACAGCCCCGGCACGGTCCGAGCTCTCCCCAGCCTGCGGCAGCCCAGGGAAAGCCGAGAGCGAGTGAAATCCTGCGCTAATAGAAACCAGCAGGATATAAGCTCGAAAGCCGACCCATTCCCACGGGCCCCTAAGTGGCTTGACGGGGATTATTATTAGTGAGGTGCTTAGCAGATGTAAGAGCCATTGCAAAGTCACGGCTATGCCACAGCTGGAAAGGAGCCTTCGGAGGCGACAAGCCGAGCCAGGCCCCCTCCTTCTCCCCCCAGATCTGGGCTCCAGCTTCCCTTTCCCTGCGTGCAGAGCTCAGCTGCTCCCAACCCGGTTTCCAACGGGAAGGATTTCTGGTGGGCGTCAGTGCCTCTCCCGGCACAGGGACGGCATTGGGTGTCATGCCCCCCAAAGTCACCCTGGAGCCAGAGAGGCTCTGAATTGGGGGGGGGGAGGGCACAGAACGGGCCCCAGGGGTGAGTCCAGCCTGAACGAGAGTCACGTACTCAACAGGGTTGCCACTAAATGATGCACCCACTTCGGCCTCTACACTGCACAAGGCCTCATCAACCCACCATCCAGCCCCTCCACGGCTTCTCTGCCACCTCCCGACCCCTCCTCCCCATCTGCTGACTCAGCTGTTGATTTCCCCTCCTTCTCCCTAACTCCCCCCAGCCCTGGATCACCCCAGCAAACCACCCTCTTGCTGCCCCATCACCGGCAACTCTTGATAAGGTGCCGCCACAGCAGGGCCTTCGCCCACAAGAAGTGGTTCTCTCCTCATTCTGTCTCTCATGCTCTTTGCCGGCAGCCACATGCCTCTGGCCTCCCTGGCTCGCAGGCCCAAAGCCCCAGTGCTTATTTGCTGCCTTTGATCCCCCGCTTGTACCCAGTCGGGTCTGGTCCCACCCTCTCCGGACAACATCTTGCTGACTTCCTACAAGAACAGATCCGTCATGACCTCCCGCCCTCGGTCCACACCCTGTCCTCGTCCCTGCCCATCACACACACCAAGGATTCTCATCTCATCTGCTCCTCTAGCCCTTCCACCTCTCCCCTGGACACCAGCCCCTCCTAGCTACTGAGCGTCCTTCACCCATGGAAAAAAGAGACAATGACCGGATCCTAAGGCATACATAGGAGGGTGGCAGAGTTAAGGTTACACCTGAATTCTGGCATTTCCTGACTTGCGTGTCCCTCACTTTACAATCTGAATAATGTCTGTTTAATATGTGTGTACGGGGGCGGGCGGGCGGGGGGGGTGTAGATTAATACAGCAGCATCCTGCCGCAGCGTTAAACTTCACAGGTGGCGTGTGACTAGGCTGGCTGCTTCCGGAGCTCCCCCTCGTGACCCAGGGTCATGCTCCAGGCAGCCTGCCTCAGTTTCCCCGCTGGGACTGTGCAAATAAAACTTCCCGGCAGGCTTTTTCTTGGGCAAAAGTATCCCTCCTTGGGGACTGGGTTTATTAATATAAAAGAAACTGCTAATAAAACAAACTCCCAAACAGTCCATTCATACGTCCACAGAACCCAAGGTTTTCCTTCCCCTTCCCAGGCCTCCTGGCCTAGAGCAACTCTCAGGGTCTTCCCTGCAGGAGCCTTTCCTCACTCTCTGCGGACTCTGCTATAGCTTCCTGGGCTTGCCTCCTTTTAGGGAACTACGTGATTGAACCCTCGTTCTGTGATGAGGGCTGGCTAGCCCCAGCCCTCTGGCCCGTAAGGGGCGAGCCACCCTGCTACCCGGCTGCTCCCGGATTGACGTTCACCATTCATGGCTGGTGAGTTAGGCTGAAGAGGCCTTTCATGTCACTCCCAGTCAGAAATGCCCCGCTGGTCCCTTGGATGGACCCCGTAAGGTGAAACAAGTGTTTAGAGAAAAGACTCATGATGCACCAGGCTGGATGGCCCGAACCCAGGAATCTTGGCCGATATCGTCACCTACACACGCATCCCGTCCTGTGAAATACACAGTTGCCATCACCTATATGCTCCGAGTCCCGCGAATTCTAGTGTCTGTCACATACAAACACACGCTCATAGTCTCCCACGCAGCAACTACAATCATGAATGCCTTGCTCCAGCCGCTCATCTGAGACGGCCCCACCGCGGCGCGGCCAGAATCGCCCCTTAGAGCTAAGCACGCTTTGCCGATTGCTGGGAGAATCTCCCCCTTCCCTCAATCCACAACGGCGGACGTGAGTCCATTATTCCTCCGGGCTGCACCATCATGTGGGCCTGGATGGGGGAGCATCACCTTGCGCCTAGTGAGCCAAGCATCAGTTACCCTATGATGGGGGGCCAGGCTGCTGCCAGGTGTGGGGGAGGAGATGCCCAGTGCTGGGTTGTGTTATCGGGGTACGGTGCAGAATAGAACAGCAGGGAGCTGACACCAGGAGGGGGCCGTGAAGGGAACAGGCCGTGCAGCTCTCACGGTCTATCCCCAAGGAGACGCCCGGACCTCGCGCTAAGACGTACTCACTTCCCACTTTCAGGTAGGTCTGGTATTTGAGGTGCCACGAGGAACCTTCGTAGCAGGCGTACTGGCCGCTGTGTGTGAGGTCGACATTCCGCAGCACCAGGTGCGACCCGTTGAGGTGGGACTCATCGATGTCGGTGCCGTTGGCCGTCCAGGTCACGGCCGCGTCCCAGTCCATCGCCCCGCACTGCATGGTCACGTCCGCGCCCAGCCGCTCGTACTGGACATGGGTGTCTGAGGAGACAGAAGGAGAAGCCCGAGGTGAGCTCTAAGCGCGTCTAAGCGAGCCGAACTCGGGGGTGTGGAAATGGTGAGAGAGAGAGACCCTCGGAGCTACCCTGGAAGAAAGTCTGAGAGTTAAGTCACCCCACAGCATGACCCGAACACAGCTCCGGAGCCAGGCCCACGCGGGTTCTAGTCCCAACTCTGACACTGACTCACTGTACAGCTCTGGGCACATCCTTTAAATCCTTGATGCCTCAGCTTCCTCACCTGGCACTGACACGGGCCTGCCCACCCCGGGAAGCTGCTTGGAGATCTAGAGCTGGAAGAGTCCCCGCCCTCTCCTCATTAGCCCCACTTCCCACGGCAGGGCTTATGAAGGCAGAGAGAGCTCGCGGGACTCGGCTTAGCGGGCTGGATGCTGACCTGGCATCCAAGCCCCGTCTACTCTAGTCCTATCAGCCTCCTGGGGGACCTTGGGCTGGTAGATTCAGCGGGACAAGGGTCCCCCCCTACTGCGGAGCCAGGCGAGGCAGGCAAAGGAGTTCCCTTTGTTTGCAACCTGCTTTAACCATGACAATCATTCGGGCTTTTCCTCTGCAGATCTCAGTGCCCTTCCCAAGGGGGGCGGGGCACAGCCCATCGTCCCCATTTTAGGTTTTTAATGAACAGTTGTCTGTGCCCCAGCAACAGTGCCAACCTGTTCTATTGCCTGGTACTCCTCGGTGGGGTGACTGGTGCTACCGGGCAACCAGAGGGAGCGACAGCGACTGGGAGTTAAGGGTTTCTACCAGGTCATTTGTCTCCCCCCAAGGCACAGACAGCAGTGACTAGACTGGCATTGCGATGGGCAGTGGGAATCCATGGATCAGGCCATCTAATTATGTGATGTTAGTGGTGTTGCCTAGAGAGGCCTATTCCGCAGTACCCATCTGCTAGTCCTCTGGGCTGAGGAGGCTACATCTCTAGTCTCTCTGTCATTGGTCTCTGTGTCTGGGAGGGAAGGAGATGTAACGCCCATGGCTTCAGGGGGGGCTGGATGATTGTTGCTGGTGGTACCGGGTGGTTATGAACAAGGGGAAAAGCCCAGGCGTTCGGACAGGGAAGATGACGATTACGCACAAAGGAACATTCATTCACAGGCAGTCAGACGCTGTTTCCGTGTGGCAAAGCTGGTTGGAAAAGTTCGGCTGGGACATGCTTTCTGTGGAGTTTGCCGGTTCAACAGTCAAACGTTTCGTGGAGACGGTTCCGTTTCAGCAAAGGTTCAACGGAAGCCGGGCAGCGTTTGGATCCCGCCTGCCAGGAAGGTTTCCATTGGAAACTCGCCTGGTTTTCTGCCAGCTCACCCGCCCGGCCCCTCGGCACCCTGCCTGGTGGGCGGACCCGGAGTTGGGAGTCCCAGCTCCCACGCTCACAGCTCCTCAGCAGACTGGGCTTCCAGTCTCCCCACGTGCTCTGACTCAGAGCCGGGAACCCCAAGGCTTCCAGGGGCTGTGGCATCCTGCCAGGTGGACTCCCATGGAATTAGGGACCTCCAGGGTCCACAGCTGGCCGATTACGCTGTGCGTGCAATTTGCGCACACAGTCGTGATAACTGTGTGTGCAGAGCTGGGGGCGTGGCTGTGCGGCTGTTTTTGCATCGTTTTGAAAGCCGGGACCTGGACACAGGGAGTGTGGGTGAGGATTGTGACTGTGCAGAACATAAAGCAAGGCACGGACGCTGCCCGGAGGACCTTACACTCTAAAGAGATGGACAATGCAAGTGCACTGGGTGGCTCTGTGTTCGATAGTTCCCCAAGGGACCTCAAGAGACCCGGGCATTAGAGTTCCTCAGGAGACACTCAGAGGCTGAGTGGGTGGGACCATCCTGCTGCGTGACAGCGGACGGGAGCGATGGTCTGTTGTGGGATCCTCCTCAGCCAGCTAGGCCAGGCCCCACGCTCCCACCCGTGTCCGAGAGAAGGCAGGCTGACGCCAGAAGGCTGAGCAGGAGGAGAACTCGTCCTTTGGCCGCAGCCAGGAGTGCTGGAGCGAATGCATCCGTGCTCGGAGGGGATCCCGACCCCACTACGGGCAGTGGCCTTGAAGAGTGTGGAGAGGGCAGAGAAACCCCCCAAGGCCGGGCTGGGGCCCGGGGGAGCCCTGAGGGGAAGGGGTAACGAGTCTCCTACATCCTAACATGCTCAGTTAGATGGAAGCCCGGAGTTGTAATGCCGTGAGACGTACCCAGACCTGGGAACCTTCCAAAACAGCTCAAAATCCAGCTACACACAGAAACGCAAAGGCACCGTTAGCATGTGTGGGAAGTGGGGGTAGCATTAAAGGGAAAATTGTATATCCACCTGCACAGCTCTCCCAGATCCCCTTGATCTTGCCCCCACCCCATACACACTAACCCAGCTCTGCCAACATCCCTCCACCCTGATCTGCAGCACGGCTGTTAGTCCAGCCCTGAGCTCCCCATATTCAACTCCATTGGTGTCCCTCAACCCTGACCTGCAGCCCCCGCCGCCACGGTGTTCCTACCCCTTCCCCAGCAGCATTTCCAGCCTTCCTCAGTCCTCACTTGGTGCTACTCGGAGCGTGCACCCCTCTTGGGCAGGCCCTGTGATCAGCACTGGATTGCCTGCCTGAGCTGGGCTTCAAACCCACACTGGCGAAGGCGAGACGCCAACTCCCACCCCACCCCTCTCACTCCCTCCTCTTCCACCTCTAATGCAGCTTTTGGAGCGAGACTGACGGGCGCACGGGCGCCACATCCGATGCCGCTGGCGGGGAGCCTGACCGGAGAACGTACCAGAGTGTGACAAGCAGGGAAATCAAACCGCCAGGTCAGCATTATCATAGAATAGAATATCAGGGTTGGAAGGGACCTCAGGAGGTATCTAGTCCAATCCCCTGCTCAAAGCAGGACCAATCCCCAACTAAATCATCCCAGCCAGGGCTTTGTCAAGCCAGGCCTTAAAAACCTCTAAGGAAGGAGATTCCACCATCTCCCTAGGTAACCCGTTCCAGTGCTTCACCACCATTGTCCCTGATGGAAGCTGTGCTTCTCTGTCACCTCCAGACAGTGGCTGAGTGTGTGTCTGTGGCTGGAGGGGGACGGGGAGAAGAGGACTCTGAAATTGCGTTCCTATTTGCCCATAAATGAACTGCCGTCCCAGGCTGGCTGCCCGCTGCCAATGCTCCGGCCGCGGGGAAGGATTAGGGAGCTGTTCCTAGCACTGCGGCGCATTGTCTCTGCAAGTGGCGCTCTCCTCCCAAGGCGATGATTTAAGGCCCATTACGCTCTACGGACCAGGGAGAAATCCAGCAAACCACATGCTTGTCTCTGCCTGTGTTCCAGAGGCGCCCGCGGGAGCAGAGCCAGAGGGCTGAGCGTGCGGTCAGCATGGAGCAGGGCGGCTTGGCGCACTCATCGACGGGGAGCGGAGCCGCTGGCCGGGAAGGGGACTTCGTCTGAGCTTGATCAGCTTTCACCTGCTTTTACGAGGCAGAGGGATAAACCCGGAGCCAGCCTCTCTGAACGTGACCGGGCTCCCTGCACGGAGCAGCGCTGGATGTCAAGCCTTGCGTCGGGTCACTTTGAAGGGGGCCCAAAGCCAGCGCCTCGGCTGCCAGGTGCATTTACATTCACACAGCACCAGACTGACGCAGCCCAGAGACCGACGGCCTCTGCTTAGCTGCAAAACAGGTACAACATGGACAGCAGCCAGCACGCAGCTCCCACGCAGCCAGCCACCCGCGGGGGTGCCCCAGCCCTGCTCAGGGGGGATCCGTGCTCTGGAGTTCGCCAGTCCTGGCTCATTCTTCTGAGATTGCCAGCAAACAAATATAAGAGCATCAGAGCTGCCATGCTGGGGTCAGACCAACGGTCCATCCTGCCCAGGACCCTGTCTCAGACAAGTGGCCCATACCAGAGCTTTGGGGGAGTTATGGAGTGATCCGCTCTGTCTTCCACTCCTGGCTTCTGGCACCCAGAGCATGGATTTGCATCCCTGAATGGCTTGGCTAATAGCCATTGAAGGACCTGTCCCCCAGGGACCAATCCAGTTCCTTCCAGAACCCCTTTTGGGGACCAGTGGGAGGGACGGGGAATTTGGAGACCTGGGTTGAATTCCTGACTCTGTCCCATATTCCTTGTGTGACCGTGGGGGAGTGACTGCCTCTCCCGTGCCTTGCCCCCTCTACACAACGGGGGTAAACTCACCCACAGCCCGGTGAGCAGAGGGCAAATGCCACTGGTGACTGTCAGGTGTTCAGCTACTGCGGGGAAGTGGCCATGTTAGTACCCGGAGAGACAGAAGTTGCTGATCATCTGCCAGATGATAGCAGCTGCCTCCTGTTGCTAGGGGTCCGTCTACACCCCAAATTAAGGTGTGACTGTAGCACGGGTAGGCACAGCCATGCTAGTGCCAGCCTAGCTAGCCTGGGTAGCAATAGCCATGAAGACCTGGCAGCACGGGTGAACCACCCAAGTACAAACCCAGCGTACTAGAATGGCCAGCCTGTGCCACCACATCTGCTATTGTTAGCCGCAGCAGCTGGATGAGCGGGGGTTCGCCCACCGGCGCTGCAGCCACACCTTCACTGGCGTACCCTAGGGCAGCATGAACAGAAGGATGTGGCACTGGGGAAAACGTCTCCATCGGGTTTGGGGCAATTCTGCAGCCCCAGCCTTTTGGGGTTTTTTGCATTGACTCGCATCGACCCAGAGCCTTGGGGGATGTGGGACAGGAGGGAAACCAGGACGGGGCTGTCTTCAGTCCTGGGGAGGGGGAGAAAACCAGACCAACGTTCTTTACACAAAGAGCGGTGGCCCGGGGGGAGTCGCCAAGTGCTTCTGATGCAGCACTCAGGGCTTTCCCTGGAGCCCGGGGGCACTGCCAATACTGAGGTCACCTCTCCTAGTGACCTCGGCCGAAGGGCCAGAGTGGGCCCTGCGAGAGACCGTAGGTGGGACCAGACACCGGTGCAGCATTCTCCTGCAACCCAGGACTGCTCCCTGC